GATGGTTTATTAGGTGATGAGCTTTCGTGGGCCAGACCCATTTCCTCAGATCAATATGTGGAAGAAAATCGGCACAGCCATATATACCAAAGTGATACAATCAAAAAAATTAATGCATGTGAAATTGACAAATCAAATTTTAGAACAGAGTGGGGATGAGGGAGGAAGGTTAGTGTCTGTGAGGTAATGACATAGGGATGATAATAGGGGACGCTATCTTTGTAATGGGTGAGATAATTAGAGTCTTTGTTTAAACCCATACATAAAGTGTCAAATTCAAGTATGAATGACAATTCTGAAGCTTCTCGTTGAAGTCTGGAGTTAAAGTCTCTTTGAAGCAATATGCATGTTTTAAGGTCATTGAGGGAATGGTCAGTCTGGCTGAAATGGCAAGCAACAGCTTTCTCTCTGTGAGAGTCTTATGTCTGTTTTGTGTGCATTAATTCTTCGGCGAAGTGTCTGAGACGTTTGTCCAATGTATATTTTTTTTATTGTATCACTTTGGTATATATGGCTGTGCCGATTTTCTTCCACATATTGATCTGAGGAAGTGGGTCTGGCCCACGAAAGCTCATCACCTAATAAACCATCTTGCTAGTCTTTAAAGTGCTACATAGTTCTGTCTTTTGTACTGTGAATTATGTGGTTTTATGTAAGGACTAGTGAATAATCTATCTTTTTAAAAAATGTGACTACAGCAGCTACCTCAATTATGTCTCTCTATATCAATACATTACAATGCAGGAGTATTGGTCAACATGAAGCTAATATAGAGTCAGTTTAGCCCAGCAGAATCTATACAGTACCAAATTAAACCTGGATGAGGGCAGAGAACTGATAAATAGGATAAACAATTTAAGACCTTTTTTATTCCAAGAGGAGGATGGAGAACTGATTGTTGCTTTAATAGTGTTTCTTTATGTACATAAAGCTTTTAGATATGATAAGCTCAGTATACGTGTCTATAGAGAGATAATTATTTCCAAGGTTACCACACCAGCCCGATGGTAGAGTGGACATTTTGAGATCCAGGCTCTAGTTGGTATTCTAGCTTCATCCTTAGACAGTATTTCTGGCAGAAACACTGACTTACCAAATCTGTGTCATTATTCCCAGAGCTAATGTACCACAAGGGGCACATTAGACACTAGGCAGTAAAATAAAGCCTTGTAAATGGGTTTAAGAAACACTTTTTAAAATTTCAGTTTATGGGGAGGTAATGTATAAAACAGTGTTTCTACAAACCTATAGAAGGAATATAAATATATCCCATATGCTATGTGTGGGGGAATTCTGCACAACATTGTGATTGCAGAATTCCTGTCTTAAGCAGATTAATTTGCCTCCCTGTCATTTTCTACAGAATCTGCAGAATTAAGCAGATTAATTTGCCTCCCTGTCATTTTCTACAGGGATGTAAAGGACCTGTCTGCAAGTGTAGAGCTGCCCAGTGAGAGGGGGCTCACTCACTCTATAGCTGCAAATTGCCTTCTGTATCCTAGTGCCAGTCATGTTCTCTTTCTCTCCTGTTTCTGTACAGGTTGGACCCCCCTGGTTCATCATCTCTGGGGCCTGAGCATATCCAGACAAGCATGTTCGCCACAGTAGGGGAGGTCAGGTCTGGGGATCTTCCAGAATTCACCTGTTGGCCACCAGCCTGGCAAGTGTGTTGCCCCTAGCTGGCTGGCAGGGCTCCAATCTAAGTCCCTATCCTCATTCTGGCTGGCAGAACTCCCAGCAGCAGACTCTGCTCTGGATGGTGGGGCTCCCTGTCCCCTGGCGGGTGGAGCTCCATTCCCCATCAGCGAGACTCCCTTCCCTCTGCCCTGGCTCAGCCTGAGGAGTTCAGCCCTTGCCTGGTGAGGCCACAACCAGCCTGCTGAAGCCAGCAGGGCTCCTTGCCCCCAGTTGCTGGCCCCACTCTGGTTGCTGGCCCACTGGCTGGGTTCCCTGCCCTCAGGTGACCGGCCCTGCAGGCTGCTGGTTACCACATTGGCTGAACTCCCAGTCACTCATAATCTTTGTGGCTGGGGCTCTTTGGTCCACCAATATCTGTTACCGAACCAGAGAGTCCCAGACCACAGAGATCCAACCTGTACAAGGCTGAGTGCCCATGTACATAAGAATATAAGACCATAATAAGGGCCATACCAGGTCAGACCAAAGGTCCATCTAGCCCAGTATCTAATCTTTTGACAGCTGCCAATGCCAGATGCTCCACAAGCAGTGAATATAACAGGGACTCATCAAGCAGTCACTCTCCCGTCACCCATTCCCAGCCTCTGACACAGGCTAGGGACACCATTCCTACCCATCATGGCTAATAGCCATTGATGGACCTAACCTCCATGAATTTATATAGTTCTTTTTATTAAACTCCTGGTCTTCACAACCTCCTTTGGCAAGGAATTCCACAGGCAGACTGTGCGCAGTGTGAAGAAAAACTTCCTTTTGTTTGTTTTAAACCTGCTACCTATTAATTTCATTTGGTAACCCATCGTTCTTATGTTATGGGAACAAGTAAATAACTTTTCCTCACTCACTTTTTCCATATCAATCATGATGTTATAGATCTCTATCATATCCCCCTTAGTCTCCTCTTTTCTAAGCTGAAAAGTCACTATCTTTCTAAATCTCTCTTCATATGGAATCCATTCCAAAACCTTAATTATTTTTGTTGCCCTTTTCTGAACCTTTTCCAATGCCAATATATCTTTTTTGAGATAAGGCGACTACATCTGTACACAGTATTTGAGATGTGGGGCAGGGCAAAGGAATGGGGAAGGAAGGAAGGAGGGTGGGGAGAGGGGTGGACAAAAGAACATATTGGGTAAGAACAAAGGTCCATCTAATCCCATATCCTATCTTCCAACAGTGGCCAATGCCAGGAACTCCAGAGGTTCTAAAATCTCATATAATGACACCTCAATCTGGGACACATGCTCAGATTTATCACCTTAAAAGACTGGGAATGGAGAGGAAATAGGGCAGTGGAAGAGGGAGGCAATTGAGGAGAGATGCATAAGGTCGGGCTACACTGGCGAGAGAAAGGAGAGAGGATGTGACATGGGAGTGGACAAGGGGGAAGGAGGATAGATGACAAAAAAAATTGGGTAAAGGAACTGTGAGAGCATAAGCCTGGAATGTGTCATCCTCTTGACAACAGCAACTGGGGAACCCTTATAAACCGATTGAACCCCCACCCTAATAAGCCCCATTTCCTGGACCTGGACCACTCAACTGATCCCTCCACACCCATCTCCTCTCCCCCATCCCTAACTACTATCACCAAGGCTCCCCTGCAGACTCCCATTATTTCTGCATAAGTAACCCCCAGATGAGCAGCAGTGCATCAAGATCCCCAATTAGCTGCTTGCACCCAGATTGCCCCAAAACCTCTGGATCTACCCTCCCCACACGCTAATCCCCTCCACACTTGGATCCTGCTAGGCTGAGTGTACTACCCATATTACAAAATACAGGACTATGTAGCTTTAATCTATGTCCTTTTGTTAATATACTTGTTTTATTTTCATTAAAAACGAGCTCAGTGCTAGGTGTGCTTACCTCAGTAAAGCTGTGAGTGTGCTACCCATATTATAAAATACAGGACTATGTAGCACTTTAAAGACTAACAAGATGGTTTATTAGATGATGAGCTTTGTCTTTAAAGTGCTACATAGTCCTGTATTTTGTTTCAGCTACACCAGACTAACACGGCTATATTTCTATCACTACCCATATTACATGTGCCTGGCATTTAGGAATGTGTCCCGGGTTTTTTTGGGGTGGTCACAACCTTGGTGCTGTGTCAGATACAGCCTCAATGCTGAGTCCCTGTTTCCAGGGAGGTCTTCAGAGATATTCCCAAACTTGCTTACTCTGTGCAGCCAGCGGCTGTATTCCCTGCTGCCATGCTGGAGCTTTCACACTTATTTATTGACAAGATCTGCAGAATTTGAAAATATTGGGTGCAGAATTTTTTTTCAGTACGGAATTCGCTAAGGAGTTATATAGCGATTTATGATGAATACTCAATTCCTGATCTGTTAACAAATCACAATCTTCTGCATTTAGGATCAGCCATACTTGTCTTTCATACAATGATATTTTAAACAAACAGATACTTAATTTAAAAAAAAAGTTTGTAAATATTTGAGGATGGATATTTTGAGTCAAAGTGACATTCTTTACTAAACAGTGCTGTTACCAAATGTTTCTGTCAAAAATTGCTGGAAGAGCAAGTAATCTCATGATGAGATACAATAACATTCTAACTACTCTACTAAGGAAATGACATTCCCTTCAAATTTTCCCCATTTGTACGCCTTGTTCTGTCAATCTTCTCTCTCATAATAAATAATATGAAGAAGACTGTCTTTGAGAATGGTTATCATCCCTTCCAGTTTATTTAATTAAATATAACTGACAGGAATAATAAGAATGGCACCTGGGGTTAGGTAAATTCCACCTGGAACATTATTAGAGAGATATATAACAGACAGCTATTGACAAGTCACTACTAGACAAGTGACTTGGTCACTATCCATAACTTAATCAATTAAAAAAAACCATCACTGCACATTTTAACTCACAACAACTTAACCCAAGCTGCACAGTTCAAAATAAAATTAGAGGAAGCATCTCTACCACATCAACTAATTAATGATTAATCCTGGGTCTAAACAAATGATTTGATCATGATTTAGTTTTCCTAGAGTGTAAGAAAAATGCCATGTTTCATTATGCTTGATTGCAAAATGAGAGAGATAAGTGTGAAATTATTTTTAATGGAATCCACTTGCTCATCTTGCAGTAAGCACTTACCCATGATTATATGTGCACTTTGACAAGACTGAAGTTTCTACCTTGATTGTCACTCATTGTCTAATTAAATGTAAGACAATGAATGTCTCTGAATAAGAATAGGGCTATTTTTTATGTGGCATGATGACATTTTGATCCATGTTTCAGAAATAAATGTATGGTGTTCTACTTACCTAAAATCTTGCCAAGCACAAGGGATTTGATTGCATTGAATTCTGTACCTGAAGACAGAATGAATTGCATCCTTTCATTCTGGTTAATCTGCAAAATTGTTCAGTGAGAAAGAGAAGTAGCATAATGGAAGAGAATTTAGTTGGGATGTGTAGGAAGGGGGGAGGATGAGAGAAGATGAAAGAAAAAGAGAGAAAAGAACAACTTGTCAATCATACTATAAAGATGAGGATAGCAATTCTAAGAAATGAATCAGTCATTAAAAGGCAGACAATTTTATAAACAACGTGGTATAACTTCTTCAGAACACTATGATTATGACGGAGGTATATTTAAGTATCCCCACCTTAGTATAAAATTCTCCTTTTTCTAAACTGTTTAGATAATGCCTTTGTATTCATCTATAGGCAGAAAAATTAGTATGCCTTGTGAAGAGATGCAAAGGACTTGAAAAAAACCCTTTAAGACTCTTGCTTATCTCAGAATGAAACTTTATACATGAAACAATTAAAAGTTATGCCATGAAAGCTGTGCTCCCAGAATCATTACATAAATTGCTTGCCTTGAAATGCTGGTGACAGTGCATATCTGCATTATTTAGTTCTTATCTAAATATATTATATTATTTGTATTGTTCAGAATCATCAACATTTATTTTACAATACAGCCTTTTTCCCGATGCCAGTTTTTACAAATTAGAATTGTGTTAGCTTATCTTTCACTTTCCCTAGAAATCATGAATCAATGTAGGTCCAAACATATTTTCCTAGCAAGTTTTTCTGTAATCCTAAGGGAAGTGCTGAGCAATTGCAAATCCTATTGAAGAAAATAAGGGCTTTAGGTACTACTCTTTGAAAACCAGAGCAATTACTTTGTTTTAAATTATTGTTAAATTGCTGCTGTCAGTTCTGCTCTCTTGTACCCTCATTAACGTAAGCAGAATAACTGAAATCTCTTATTGTTGGAGTGATTAGTAGAGAGTTCCGCAATCATAAAATCTAGGTTGAAGTAGAAATCATTTCATTGCCTACTGAAATGAAACGAGAAGGTGGAAATGACTTTTTAAAACAGACAAGGTGAATGTCAAACCCTCAAAGGGATTTTTTTTCGCCTAGATTCGCACAGTGCAGCAAGAGTCTGCTGTGCTTTGCTTTATTTCTTTGGGATATTAAAACACACTTTTACTGAATTTATTTATCTCATTTTGCTTTGTCTCTTGTACCATTTGATGACAACCCACTTTTTTGTTCACTACTGCATTACCTCTACAAAGAGCACTTCCTCTTCCCTGTTAATCTTGACATGGTGAAGCATCCCATCAGCCAGGCTTTTGAAGTTGATGCTAAAGACATCAGGATCTTGATGACTGTCTAGCTTGTACCTGATCTGTAAACTTCCTGAAGGGATGGAGTAGGATATTTTTAGTTAGGACGTAAAAAATAGCTAGTGTAGCTGATATATACAATAATCACCCTTTTGAGACATGCATGATATGAAAAGTTGTATAAATGTCCAATTGGCATAAAGAAACAGTTTAATTAACAGAAACAAATGAAATGAAAGAAATAAAAATAATGACTGGAAACCACAGTTGGTCTGGATTACAAAATTAAGATTAATCATTGAACAGCAAATTGCCACAGTTTAGCCTCACGGGTGAGTTAATACGGCAGCTCATATCAACTGTTGTTCCACAGTAGTTAGCACTGTCCATGAACCAAGAGCTGCTTTATAGCATCTATAACTCAGAGATGATTTGGCAGGACATGGAGAAAAACATGGTATTCTCCCACACTGTGATAAGTGTAACAGCTGGTGTTCCTGTTTACCAAATGTTTGCCTGGTATTCCTGAACAGCTGGTGTTCCTATTTACCAAACTATGTAGCGGTGCTACATAGTTCATGTTTTAAGAAGAGACAGCTCTTAGGACTATGCTTCAGAACACAAACCTACACTATTTGAAATATGGGAGAATCACTATTAGCTGTAAAAGTAATTGTATTGCTTTCTGCTAGACAAAAAACTCTAAGTCCCGAACACGTGAACACATCTCATTTGTTATACCCCTATCTTTCACTAGAAGATAGGGGTATAACATTAGCCAATGTATTGTGCAAGGCAGACAAAGTACATAGAATCAGGAAAACAAGAGCAAACATTTGAAAAAAAGGATACTGAACAAAATTAACTGCTGGCGTAAATGAGCCAGCTCCATTGACTTAATATGAATTCAGTTTGGTCAAAATTTGGCCAACAGTAACAGTTTGCAGAAGTTTATTGAGTCCAGTGTAACATAATATAAAATCAAGGGTATGTCTCAACTACATCCCTCTTTCGAAAGGGGGATGTAAATTAGACATATCAAAATTGTTAATGAGCCAGGATTTGAATTTTCCGTGCTTCATTTGCATAATCGCATCACAGCATTTTTTCGAAAAACGCTATTTTGAAAGTGAAACCACAGTCTAGATGCTGTTCTTTAGAAAAGAAAAGCCTTTTTTGAAAGATCCTGTACTCCTCAAAGAATGAGGTTTACAGGATCTTTTGAAAAAGGCTTTTCTTTTAGAAAGAACCACGTTTAGACCACGGTTTCACTTTCGAAATAACATTTTTTTAAAAAAACACCATGATGCGATTATGCAACTGAAGCATGTGAAATTCAAATCCTGAATTCATTTGCAATTTCGATATGTCTAATTTATATCCCTCTTTCCAAAGAGGGAGGTAGTCTAGACATAGCCCAAGATAAAGTGTAATATTGTTTATCACAAAGCTATATATGTTTGTCATTTCTGTGCTTTGCACGAATGTTAAAGTAAACATCTGTCAAGAGCAAAGATAATTTAGAACATTTTTATAAATTGCAAAATATTTCCAGCATTAATGCTACACATTTATTTCCCACGTGGATTAAGAAAATTTTGTAAGAAGAAATCACTTTGATCAGGTATTGCTGCAATAATTTTGCATGTGGAAAGCATTTTGTTTTGGCTTTGCTGAAAAATAAATCTCACACCTAAAGGAAGTGACAATAGAAAAAAATGCATGCTTGTCTGGGATTCAGGTAAGAGAATCAGAAGAAATTCTGAGTTACATAGGTCTGAAGGTTAGTTGTAATTTTGTTCATTCGGTTTTGTTGTTGTTGAAAACTCACCATTTTTGGCAAGAACAACTGAGAGATACTCCTTGTAGAAGGAGCTCACATACAGCAGTAAGCTTGGAGTCCGTGTTGTCCGAAAGGTAAATGTGATCAGTTCCCTGGTCAGAGTCATGTCAGCGTAGAAAGAAGAAGCGTGAGAACTGGAATTTTTAGCTAAGGTATAATACTCTTGAAAATTGTACACTACTGAGGTGTCAGCTCCAAAATAAGCAGAGATCTCTGAAACAACATGTAATTCAGTTTTGTTAACACCCTGCAACCAAATATAAAAGTTTTGCTTTTTTTTTTTACAGAAAGAATTTTAAAAAGTATTCATAGGCATTATGATTAACCTGGAAAAGAAGTATCAGTAGCACTGTTGATCTGTATAGTAGATGAGAATATGGGCCAAGGTTATCCTCCCAACAACCGATCCACACATGGAGGAGAATGTCTGCATTCAGATTGCCCCTTCCTTGTGAGACTGTCTGTTTGACTATTTCTGCTGAACAATCCTGCCTTCCTCGTCTGCATTCAGATTGCCCCTTCTTTGTGAGACTGTTTGTGTGTTTGCCTATTTCTGCTGAACAATCCTGCCTTCCTTCAGACCTTGTGTAGATGCTCTCTGTTTTAGGATTGGGTGTTGGAGGAGGGGGCAGAGTGAATAGGATGGGGCACAGAATGTCTTCCATCAATCACTGTAGAAAAGACCTGGTACAGATAACACACACTGGAGTTATCTTCTCTTTTCCACACAGCCCTCTCACCTTGAAGGTATTTAGGAAACTACCATGCCACCTAGGAGTGAAAACACCTAGACCATGGTACTTTTGATATAGTCTGAAGATGAAGAAAGCCTATTACGGTAGGTTATCCCATGCTTCCAGTTGTAGCACAGGATTAGTCCCTACAGTATATAGGTTAATGTTACCTTGTCTAGTTTAAAACTTCTCAATCAGTGAGGTTTCAAATCCTAAACAGGATAAAGAGACTTATCTTGCAAACATGATTACTGCTGTGCACTTCCATGGACTATGTGGGACTGGATCTCACATGTCTCTATCATAGGATTTTTCAAATGGCTTTTGCTAAAAAGTTCCTATTTCCTTTTGCAGTATATTATTTCTCCAGTCTATGAACCGAATAGTTAGGTGCCATATTGGGGGGAGTTATTTTAAAAATTAAATAAATGAAATGTCAGATGAAATCATGCAATAGGAATTTCTTGGGTTTTCAGGTTTACAAACCTTATTTTCAAGAAACTGATCATGTATTGATACTTTTATGCATAAGCTGATACTTTCTCAAAAATGGGTTCTATGTACTACCTTTGCAGATTAAATGTATATGAGTCCTTTACTGTAAGGGGTGTTTGAGAGGATGCATTGACTACTTAACAGAAATGACAGAGCACATTTTGCTCCATTTCTGCTTCTTTGGCCTGACCCTGAATGTGATCACTGATAATGCTGGGAGTTGAGGTCACTCAGCACATCGCAGGAGACACTCGGCAATTTGTGGAAGCAAGGCCTTCATTTCACCAGACTAACAAAAATAATGGAAATATTATGTGCATTATATGATTACTGAAAATTCAAATCAGTGATGTACTCATTGACCATTAGTGCAATATCCCTAGCAAGCTGTTCTGGAGAAATGTAAACCACAAAGAATGGAAAATGTTAACTGCAGGCCCATTCATATTCTCGAGACCTTCAAGTAATGGAAGCCGTCTAGCTCTTGCCTTCAGGAAAACAGATCTCTCCCTCTTATCCCTCCCATATTTAACCACCCTTTTGAAATTTGGATTTGAAGGCAGAAAATAAGGAGTTTGCTTACTGACTTTAAAAATACATTGCTTAAGTAGAATCTTATAAAAAGAAAGCAAACACTGAAAAATGTGACAGCATCTTTTAACATATAATTTTTCCAGCCTCAAAACCTAGAATAGAATGCTCACATGCCCTAGTTTAATCATTTACCGAGATTAACTGGCTAAACTATGTAGACTTCCTTTTTAAGTTCTTTGGTTTATTATCTGGCAGGTGCAGACAAACAGCTTTCTAAACCCTCTTTGCATAAGCAAAAGTCATTACTGCAGTTAGCAGTGGTAATTTTTGATCCCAATAGCAGCTCTGCATCAAGCAGGGAAGGTCACTGATCCTCTCAAGTAATATGAGTATCATCTTTAAACAGTACACACTGAATATAATCCTTTGGAGACCCATTATGGGGTTTAAGTGAACTAGCCACTGGCTCTACAGAAATACAGCTGAAAGCATATTTTTCTACATTAAATAAAGATGAATTAAAAAGACATTTTTGCAAACCGAAGTTCTTCAGATAGTGCCATAGTGCTTGCTCCAGACTGTATGAGTTGGAATCCTTTGCAAGGATTATCATTTTCAATAATTCATAATGCCAGAAGAGATCATTCTCTAATCAATACTCAGTAGGTACATGCTGCCACATGTGATAGTTACTATTTATGCTTGCCTTTCTTACAAAATGGCCCAGTGTAAGCAGAGAAAGTGCAGTCACAAGAGAATCCATTGTATTTCTCTCTACATTTTCCTCCATTGTGACACAGGTTACCGTAGCTGCTACAATGTCCAGGACAACCTGGTTCTACTCCTGGGGTTATTTTTGCTCTCTCTTCCAGGTCAAGGGCTCCTCCGTTTAACCGCAAAGAACGAATACATCCCAGGAATCCTTTCTGTCTGGATGCTGTACCACCTGAAATAAATTAATATGAGCTTTTAAAATTAAAATAATTGATGTGTGAAAAGTCTGTGTGTTTTACAGTCCCAAACATTCCATTATGGTCCATACATCTGCAAATATTTATAAGTAACTCTGGACATGCCTTGGGTTTCTGTTTGTTTTTTGTTTTTGTCAAATAATTAGAACAAAATGGTCAAACTTTTTATCAAAAGAAAAGTTTTTGCACAATAAAAGATACCAAGGAAAGGTACATTATATTCATTCTCAGAAGAAAAACGTGAGCATGAGATTTTTTTTAAAAAAACCAACACCTCTATGTGAGGACAGGAGGTATAGTCCAGTGGTTAGGGCACTAGCCTGGGATCTGGTAAACCCAAATTTAATTCCTAACTCTGTTGCAGACTTCCTTTGTGATTCTGGTCAAGTTACCTAGATTCTCAATACCTCAGTTTCCCAACTGTAAAATTAGAGGGATGGGAATAATTTGCTTTTCTCCAGATGATTCTATGCTTGACTTTTCTAAGTTACATACATGACTTGGGCTTTCCATTATCTTAACAGTGTTACTTCAGTGCTACTAAGCTTTTAAAGTGGAATACAACCACTACTTTACTGCCCACTCTCCTATTTTTTTCTATATCAGTAAATACCATTGACTTCACTGGGTTTTCTAGGCAAGGAGCACTATAAGAACTCAGCCATTTTTTTCTATTAATGGATCCATCTAAATATTTAGTTACTGCAAGACTTCACTCAGCAGTCTTTTATGTCAGCATCAATATTTAGTTGTCACTGCTGCTCGAGCCTTAACAGAGCCAGTCTTTAGTGTTCTCAGCTACAGCTGGAAAAAGAGGGGAGGGAAAAAGACTAAAGTGAAACCTGACTACTGTGGTTTTTAGTCCTTTGATCTTACTTACATATCTTCCTTTGTGGTCTCATATTTGATTACCATTGTTTCTGTACAGTATGTCTCCTGACAGCTAACATCTTATTCATTATGGTATTCAGAGAGATGAGGCAATCTACAATCCCTGAGAGAACAACACTTGCACATTGTTAATAATTGGTGGTCTAACATGCTTTTGGTATTAGGTTTTTTTAGGTAAAAACAGCAAGTACTATACAATTCAATTCTTATTCATTTCCACATTTATTTTATCCTATATTCATTTTTCTCAATGTCATTTTTATACAATTCTAAGAACATATTTACTTCTTCCTTTGGATAATTTTGGAGCGTCAGTGGAAAACCTTGTTTTTAGTGTACATAAATCAACATGGGAGAGCTCTGGGTTTTAGCTGCACAAAAAATAAATGATTGTATTTTTGATGTGCATACATTTTTTACAAAGTTCGTCAACACTATTAAATAAAAATACAAACAATGGCCTTAAGTAAGAATTAAAATGTATAGTATCTAGAAAAATCTTTATATTTCTCGTAAACTGGTTTTATGAATTTATAAATATTATATATTACAATAATACATCAAAAATTGTTATTTATATACCATCCAAAGTGTATGTACTTTACAAACAAAGAAGAAGACCAAGAACAGGTTAGGCCCTTTGCTCAGTTAAGAGGGAGAAACAATAACAGGAAATGTGGAAATGACAGAGTTGATTAATGAATTCTTTGTTTCGGCCTTCACCAAGAAGTCTGATGGTGAAGGAAATCCTAACATAGTGAATCCTAGTGGGAATGGGATTGGTTTAGAAGATAAAATGAAAAAAGAACAAGTTAAAAATTACTTTGAAAAGTTAGATGTCTACAAGAAATGCATCCTAGAATACTGATAGAGGAGGTATCTGAGCCTTTAGTTATCATCTTTGAAAAGTTATGGACATTGGGAGAAATTCCAGAAGACAGGAAAGGGGCAAATATGGTGCCCATCTATAAAAAGGGAACTAAGAACAACCCAGGAAAGATAATGAAGTAAATAATTAAGGAATTCATCTGCAAATATCTAGAAGAAAATAAAGTGATAGGTAACAGCCAGCATGGATTTGTAAAGAACAGATCATGTCAAACCAATCTGATAGCTTTCTTTGATAGGATAACAAGTCTTGTGACAAGTGAGAAACAGTGGTTGTAGCAAACCTAGACTTTAGATACAATCTTGCATGATCTTATCAATAAACTAGGCAAATAAAACTTAGGTGGGGCTACTATAAAGGTGGGGGCATAACTGGCTGGATAACTGTTCTCACAGAGTAGTTATTAACAGTTCACAATCATGCTGGAAGGGAATAACAAGTGGGGCTCTGCAGGGATCTGTTTTGGGACCAGTTCTGTTCAATATTTTCATCAACGATTTAGATATTGGCATAGAGAGTACGCTTATTAAGTTTGCAGATGATACCAAACTGGGAGGGGTTGCAACTGCTTTGGAGGATAGGGTCATAATTCAAAATGACCTGGACAAACTAGAAAAATGTTCTGAGGTAAATAGGAATAAGTTTAATAAAGACAAATGCAAAGTGTTTCACTTAGAAAGGAACAATCTGTGTCACACATACAGAATGGGAAGCAACTGTCTAGGAAGGAGTACTGCAGAAACAAATCTAGAAGTCACAGTGGACCACAAGCTAAATATGATTTAACTGTGTGACACTATTGCAAAAAAAGAAAACATGATTCTGGAATGCATTAACAGGAGTACTGTGAGCAAGAAGTTATTCTTCTGCTCTCATCTGCACTGATTAGGCCTCAATTGGAGTATTGTGTTCAGTTCTTGGCACCCCATTTCAAGAAAGATGTGGAGAAACTGGAGAAGGTCCAGAGAAGAGCAGTAAGAATGATTAAAGGTCTAGAGAACATGAGTTATGAGGGAAGGCTGAAAAAATTGGGCTTGTTTAATTTGGAACGGAGAAGACTGAGAGAGGACATGATAGCGGGTTTAAAAACATCTAAAAGGGTGTCACAAGGAGGAGGGAGGAAAAATTGTTCTTCCTGGCCTCTGAGGATAGGACAAGAAGCAATGGGCTTAAACCATAGGTTCAGGTTGGACATGAAGAAAATCTTCCTGTCAGGGTGGTTAAACACTGGAATAAATTGCCTAGGGAGGTTGTGGAATCTCCATTTCTGGAGATATTTAAGAGTAAGTTAGATAGACCTATCAGGGATGGTCTAGATGGTGCTTGGTCCTGCTGTGAGGGGAGGGGATTGGAGTCAAAGACCTCTTGAGGTGCCTATCAGTTCTAGTATTCTATAATTCTATTATCCTATGAAAGAGTTATATACTCCTTCCCATAACACAAAGATGAAGGGTTTCCAAATGAAATTAATAGGTAGACAATTTAAAAGAAACAAAAGTAAGTATTTTTGCACACAATGCACATTCAGCCTGTGGAACTCCTTCCCAGAGGATGTTGTGAAGGCCAAGATTTCAGATGAGTTCAAAAAAGTAGCAGATAAATTCATGGAGGAGAAGTCCATTGATAACAATTAGCCAGGATTAACAGGGATGGTATGCCTAACCTAGCGACGAGGAGTCCTGTGGCTCCTTATAGACTAACCGAAGTGTTGGAGCATAAGCTTCCATGGGCAAAGACCCACTTCGTCAGATGCATGTAGTGGAAATTTCCAGAGGCAGGTAAAAAATGCAGGTGAGAATCAGGCTAGAGATGATGAGGTGGATCCAATCAGCGAGGATGAGGCCCACTTCTAGTAGCTGGTCTGGAGGTGTGAATTCTAAGAGAGGAGAAGATGCTTTTGTAGTTAGCTAGACATTCATAGTCTTTGTTTAATCCTTAGTTGATTGTATCAAACTTGAAGATGGATTGTAGCTCAGCAGTTTTTCTTTGAAGTCTGGTCTTGAAGTTTTTTTGCTGCAGGATGGCTACCTTTAGATCTGCAATTATGAGTCCAGGGAGATTGAAGTGTTCCCCTACAGGTTTTTGTATGTTGCCATTCCTAATATCAGATTTGTGTCCATTGATTCTTTTACGTAGGGACTGTCCAGTTTGGCCGATGTATATAGCAGAGGGGCATTGTTGGCACATGATGGCAGATTCAGACTAACACGTCTACCTCTCTGATATGCTTACCCTGTTTGTCAAATCTGGAAATAGGTAACAGGGGATGGATCACTTGGGCTGTCTCTACACTACGAGTTTTCTCGGCCAAAAATATGCTAATGAGAGACTAATTTGCATGAGTCAATCTAATTTGCATATTTTATGCCGATCCGGTTTTCCGCTAGGTTTTTTACACAAAAACTAGCAGCGCGGACGTTTCCTTTTTGTGCAAAACCCCCTTTTTCTGCAAGATCGGTAAACCTCCTTTTTTGGGGCATAAGGATCTTAGGGGAAAAGGGGATTTTGCGCAAACCGGATTAGTGAAAAACCGGATCATCTGAAAATATACAAATGAGATCGCAACTCATGCAAATGATTCCCTAATTATATTTTTGCAGAGAAAACTTGTAGTGTAGACTATAACTACCTGTTCTGTTCATTCCCTCTTTGTCATTTGGCACTGGCCACTGTCAGAAGGCAGAATACTGGGCTAGATGGACCTTTGTTCTTACCCAGTATGATCATTCTTATGTTCTTAATGAAAAAGATATCTGATGAGTAACTATGGTAGTTACTATGCAAATTAGTTGACATATTAGTGATGATTGACTCTGCTAATGTCCTTCGTAAGTCTCTGATATTCATTGTTAACTTGATGTTTTCACTGTCTACTAAGACAGTAAAAGTAATGAGAGATAGTACAGTTAACAAAAATAGAAAAAACATTTTTATTATTCCTTAAACAAAACTGACAACAGAAAATAATGAAAAAGTTCAAGTTGCATAAACTGCTAGTTTTTTTTAAAACTTACAGTATCCTACAGACTGGGTTAGCTGTAAAGCAAAATAAAGTATAGATTCACATTGATCTATGTAATGGAATATAAATGGAATTTGTTAAAGCCAAAAATGGCATAAAGCAAAACATTCCCTTTATCAGATGTGGGAAAACAATTGGGCAGGTAAAAGTAGATTAGTCAAGCTCTAATAAAC